CACCATGCCCAACTATTTTTTACATTCTTGAAAGAATCTTTGTCCTGAACTTTTCCGCCTTAAGAAATAAAGTTGGCTACCCTCCAAGGAATTAGAGGTTAAAATCTGGATGACGGTGTGCTTATGACATTAAGCAAAAGTGCTGTGGTTGTTGACAGCCCACTTGTATATTGTATTGAAAATGATAAATTTACATAGATTTTTCTAACAGTAGGAGGGTAGATCAATCAGAGACTTTCTAAGCATTGAGAGGAAAGAAAATATTTTCACTTCTTTCCTGTCTGATGGTCAGCTCTGAAGCTGTACTTGTAAGTTGTAAGTCAGTGGCTGTCATTCCTTCTTGTGCACCACCTACCGGGAGGTAGTGAGTGGGGCAGTGGGAACATTCTTCCTGTTCATATAATTACAAGAGTTGCTCTTCACAAGTTCCCAGAATTAGGCTTGTGTTTTAGCAAATTATAGAGCCTTTTGATAATTGTTCCAATGAGAAAATTTCCCCTGGATAACTTTATCCACAATAGCTTTCATTGTCCAAATGGTTTCCCCAAGGCTAGCCAACGTTGAGATGTTATCTTCATCACTAATGGATTTTATTAAACATCTCTGGATACACCCTTAAGAGCATGCTTTGTTTTTTCAAATGGTAACGTCTCCTGACTTGTAAAAAGCAGCAAGATTATTCTGAAATAATAATAGCAACTAACTTTTATAGCCAGATATAACTTCTTTGCCAGAGCTATATACATTATCTCATTTAATTCGTTTGTAAGAACCTTATTAATCAGGTTCCATATTTTCTTTACTTATAGGTAAGAAAACTGAGACTTAGAGAATTTAATGAACTTGCCTGAGGCAATACACTTAATAAACCAAAAGCCAGGATTCAAATCCAAATCTGCTGATATTAAAAGTGATTCCCAGCCTTTGTTCCCATTAGTATTACTTAGTAAACTTGAAAAAGTATAAATACCTGGGTCTCCCCCTTCCCCTGGAGATTTTGACTTAATTGATTTGAGGTGGAGACTGGACATCTGTAATCCCAAGTAAGTTAAATGTACTGTCAGGGTTATGAACCAGTGCTCTAGAGTTGTGTTGTCCAATATGGTAGCCACTGGCCACTGTGACCATTGACATTTAAGTTAATTAACATGAAAGAAAATAAAAAAAAAACAGTTCCTCAGTCACACTAGCCAATTTAAAGTGCTCAATAGCCACATATGGCTAATAGCTACTGTATTGGACTGTAAAAGTATAGAACATTTCCATCATAGAAGAAAGTTCTGTTGGACAGCTTTGCAGAACCTGTATATACTCTATTTCACCTTGCTGTATCTTTTTTCCCTTTGGAATTGGGAGGGGAACTAAGCCATGATCTAACGATTTGGAAATATTTGCTTGAGATCTAGATATGGTTCTCAGTGTATGTAATTAGATACATTTATTCAGATCTCACTTTAATGATCTTCAAAATGAGAAAAAGCAGTAACCTCCATTCTCTGAAGGATGATGTGTGGAGGATTTTGCTAGAATGGAGGTTATGATCTATTTTGTCGACATTTCATGTTCATTCCCCAGGATAGATTCCCAAAAGAAGAAATTACTGGGTCAGCAGGTATAAATATATTTAAACCTCTGCAAAACTGTTTTTCAGCCAGGTTGTGCTAGTTCACTCTTTTACTGCTACTATCTGAGAATGTTTAGGATAAACATGCTCCCTTGACAACATTCATTATCATTTTAAAAACTGTGCTTGTTTGAAAGGAAAAATATGATGCCTTGTTTTACTTTATATATATTTTTTATTACTTGAAAGACTGAAGTTTTATCTATGTTTACTGGCAATTTCTTGCTCCTTGTCATTATAGAATATAAGAGAATAAATAAACCAGTAGTTTTTCTTTTTTTTTTTGCTGATAATATGTTTACTGTATGAAAGTAGTCAAAGTGATACATGGAACTTTTGTAACTCTTATAATTATTATTTTGTTTCTGCCTTAGTGATAGATTACTTTTTTTTTTTTCGAGTTGGAGTCTCACTCTGTTGCCCAGACTGGAGTGCAGTAGTATGCTCACGGTCACCTGGCATTGACCTGCTGGGCTCAGGCGATCCTTCCGCCTCAACCTTCCAAGTAGCTGGAACTACAGGCATGTGCTACCATGCTTGGCTAAGTTTTTGATTTATTGTAGAAACGGGGGCTTACCATATTGCCCAGGCTGGTGTTGAATCCATGGGCTCAGGCAAACCTCTCACCTCAGCCCCGCAAAGTGCTGGGATTATAGCCTTGAGCCACCATGCCTGGCCAACGGATTACTTTTATTCTCAAGTGTGTATTCAACTTTTAGAGGAGATTGGATGTATTCAGGGTACTATGACCTTAAAAAACTCTACTTTTAAAGAAGTGTTATTATCATTGTGTGCTGAGTAAACATAATAGTGATTTTATATCTATCAGAATTTTTGCCATTTTATCTGATAAAGTTATTTGTGTGTGTGTGTGTGTGTGTTTTCAAGATACTGCAATAAAACGTACATCTAGGACCAGGCACAGTGGCTCAGGCCTATATCCCAACACTTTGAGAGGCCAAGGTGGGAAGATCTTTTGAGCCCAGAAGTTTGAGACCATAGCCAGACCCCATCTCTGCAAAAAAAAAAAGAAAAAAAAGAAAATTAGCTGGGCATATTGGCATGCACCTATAGTTCCAGCTACTCATGGGGTTGAGGCAGGAGTATTGCCTGAGCCCAGGAGATTGAGACTGCAGTGAGTTGCAAGTGTGGCATAATACTCCCAACTAAAAAAAAAAAATGTACTTCTAACAATCCATTGCAGTTTTAAATGTCATTAAAATAGTCACAAATGATAAATATTATAACAGAATGCTTATAAATGTCATTGAATAGTCCTCTTAGGGGGATATGGCCTTTTTTTTTTTTTTTCTACCGTGATTCTTTGATAAAGAAACTAGTGGAGCATAGTAGAGAAATATTGAAATTCATTGAAGTAGTGGTGGGTGAATCTGCACAACTAGTTAATATTAGCTCTGGAACTGGAACCCACATTTCCTGACTCCTTGTTAAGTTGCTTTCTACTTGGTCATTTCCTATTTCAGTTAATCACATAAATGCCAGCACTTGGAAGCATTGGTTTAAACTAGACATGGTGACTCATGCCTGTAATCCAGCACTTTGGGAGGCCAAGGAGATAGCTGCCTGAGTCCAGGAGTTCAAGACCACCCTGGGCAACTTGGTGAGACCTCATTGCTACAGTAAATCAAAATAGGCTGGGTTCGGTGGCTCAGCCTGTAATTCCAGCATTTTGGGAGGCTGAGGTAAATGGATTGCCTGAGCCTGCGGGTTTGAGACCCACCTGGGCAACTTGGCAAGACCTTGTCTCTACGATAAATAAAAAATTAGCCGGGCATGGTAGTGCACGTCTGTGGTTCTGGCAACTTGGAAGGCTGAGACGGAAGGATCACCTGAGCCTAGCAAGTTGAAGCTGTGGTGGCTGCGAGTGTGCCACTGCTCTCTAGCCTGGGTGACAGAGTGAGACTCTGGGGAAAAAAAAGTATTAGTTTAAGCATAATATCCTCATTTGTAGGTCATTGATGGGCATTAGTCTATTCATGTAACAGCACCTGCTAGAGATAATGTACAGTTTTACATAGAGAGATGGGAAGGCAGAAGGTGTTCAGGAGTGATGGGGTAAATGAATGAGGTCAAGGCTTATCTGAAAAGGCCACTCATTATCAAAAGCTCTCCTTTGGTCTTGGGCCAGTGCCTTCATACCCAAATATGGGTGGATATCACATTTGTTATTTTATCTTTATTATTATTTTTTTGTAGAGATGGGGATCTCATTCTATGTTGCCCAGGCTGGTCTTGAGCTCTAGGCTCAAGCTATCTTCTCTCCTTGGCCTCCCAAAGCCCTAGGATTACAGGCATGGCCACACTACCCGGCCACAATTGTTTTTATTCCCATAAGATAGATCACACTTTACCTTTCAATCAGGATAAACAAGAAGACTGGAAATTTTCTATAAAGAGGAGAATGCATTTTTAATAAACTGGTGTCTTCAGCTGTTAGTAATAATTGGAAAGTGACAGGCTAGATAAGAAGGCAGGGCAGTGCGTACATGTTAAGAGACTCTTCTGTAGCTTTGGAAACTCCTTAGACTCCCATGACTTCATAAACAGGAGTATGAGGGGGGACCCCAAAACTCTGGAATTTATAAAAAATTGTGTATTCTTACATGTTTAAACTTTAGTCACTTTCCAAGTACTCTCCATTTGAGGCAATACACCTATCAAGATGCTTTTTCCACTACTCAAAACAGTTTTTGAACTCATCAATTTTTGTGCCTTTTTGTGCTTCTGCCTTTTTTTGTTTCACTTCTTCTACATGGGCAAAACGTTTCCCTTTGGGGACTTTTTCTTCTGGGGAAACAAAAAGTCATTCGGGCTGAGATTGGGTGAGTAGGGAGGGTGGGGCATGGAGGTAATGCTGTTTTTAGTCAAAACTGCTAAACACTGAACGTGGTGTTGGCAGGTGTGCTTGTAAATCACCCATCATGGAATGGGCAAACACATTAAAAGAATTTCTTCTCTCCCCCCCAAAATAAAACAACTGAAGCCGAACACAGCCTCTCACAACAATGCTGGCTGGTACACCGATGCTGATGGGTTCCTAGAACACTTATGTAGTGGGGGAAGCTTGTACTACAAAGGACCTGCCCTCCAAAAAATAATTCCAGTTTTTTGGGGTACCCCCCTCATATGTCTCTATTCATTTTCCTATCCTTCAAGAGCCTACCACAATACATTGCTTATAATGTGTGCTAATTAATTAATTGATTTGAAATTTCTTAGCAACTTGTTAATAGACTACTTCTAGAGTTATGAGGTAAGATGAAGCAGGAATAGAAGTAAGATTGAGTGGTTTAGGAAACTTTTAATTTATGACATAGATTATTTTAAACTCTCCTAAATGCCTTCTTACTTTTAGGAAGTTTGTGTGTATGTTACAGTCCGAAGTGTGCCTCTTGGGAAAAAATCACATATTCAGTATTTTACGTTCATAAAGGTAACTTTTATTTCTTCTTTTTTACTTTTCCATATCACTATTTACAAAGAGTAGCAAATTAGATAGATACAAAAATCATATTACGTTGTAATCAATTTTTGTATATTTTATACATGTATACCTGTATAACACCTACTTCCTGAAGAAATTAATAATGAATATTAAAATTAGCAGATTATTATATATATGTGTGTGTGTATATGTAGATATATTTTAGTCAGGCCTATATCTTTTTTTAGGCATGTGGACCAATCCCAATAGATGTCTATTCAAAGTGTGTTTGTTTGCTTTTTAATAATTACTAATTGGAAAGCATCTATAGACTTAAGTTGCAAAGTTCATAGGGTTTTAGTTAAAGCACCTATAATCTCAGACCTAAACAGGCTTTGGATATAAGATACATTTCTTCCATTTCATGCATCTGTGGCCCCAGATACTTATATGTCATAGCTTGGAGAGCAGGAGTAAAATGCCCGACTCCTTCCAGTTCTGTAGTTGGTCACAGCATGCCCTTTAATAGATTAGTCATGCCCTTCAGTAGTTTTAGTCTTATCTCATGCTAAGGAGTAATTATTTTACTTGTTTTTTTTTTTTTTTGAGTGGGAGTCTCACTCTGTCGCCCAGGCTGGAGTGCAGTGGCATGCTCCCGGCCACCGCAGCCCTGCTGGGCTCTGGTGATCCTTCCGCCTCAGCCTTCCAAATAGCTGGAACTGCAGGCACATGCTACCATGCCTGGCTAATTTTTTTGATTTATTGTAGAGACAAGGTCTCACCAAGTTGCCTGGATGGGTCTCGAACCCGTAGGCTCAGGCAATCTACTCATCTCGGCCTCCCAAAGTGCTGGGATTACAGGCTGAGCCACCGAGCCTGGCCTATTTTACTTGTTTGGCTCCCTAAAATTAATAGTATTTGTGTAGTACAGACTGTGGGCAAAGGTACTTTTTAAAAAAGATACCTTTTTTTCTAATATGTAAAACTTTCTGTGCCAAACCACACCAGAGTTTGTTATTCAGTAGGAGTACCTAATATTGCCTTCCAAACAAGGTACAAAAGGTTCAAGAACTTAATAATGGAGAAACTAAAAGTAACTTCAGAACTTGGCATATATACTATACATGCTTAAATAGTGTAAGTTTGAAATTTTGTGAAAACATTTCACACATTTTTCTAATGATTAATGATGAAAGCCAGTAAATAAAATTTTTCTAACAATTAAGAGTTAGAAAAGTAGAAAGTAAAGCCCAGAACACTGAGTTTAGTAATCTTCCTAACTAAAAGCGGAATTTGTTAGGGACTTTGAGAAGTCCCTAATGACTGCAAGTGTGTGGCAGTGACCCCTTAAGGGATAAGGGCCAATGAGCCATTGGGTAGTTTCCATCTTTTGGGTCCTTAAGTAGATTCCTTCAGATCCTTCTCTCCCTGAACAATTCACCACTTATGGCGTAAGATTATAATAAGTCCAGAAAAACTACTAGACTGTGACTGCACTCAGATGATCTACCTTCATTGCCGATTTTTGGAGAATGAGGGAAACCATGACATCTAGAAGTCAGAAGATGCTCCCTTTGTCAGTTTCACTGTCACTAAACATGGAGAATGTTACATAGAATAGTGCACTGCCTTGGGTAGAGTTCAAGTTCTTTGTCTAACATTGTTTCTCTGGCTTCATGTTCTTCCTCTGCAGGACACAGCAAGACCTTCACAGCTGCTCTTGGGAGTGGTGGCTCACACGTGACAAAGGACATTACTTTTCTTAACCTTGGTGGGTGATGGAGAGAGATGCATCTCTCTGCTCTGACCCTTCTTCCTGTAGGTTCTGTGCTTCTTCCTGTAGGTTCTATGCTTCAGTCTTCTTCTATGTCATTTTCTTCTCTGTGCACCCCATCTCACATGTCTCTTAGAGGTGCAGATTGTGATGACGGTCAGTGATCCTTCTGAAGCCTGGTGGGAAAAATTTCCTCGGTACTTTCCACCACTCTCAACTCCATTAGCTTTTGGGTGGGGTGGAGGGGGTACATCTTCCCTTTTTAGAGAACCTAGGCTATAAGCTTTCTTATGTTTTTGATAGAAGTCTTGAAAAGTCATTTTTTTAGTATAAAAATAATGACTCATATGAAATGTTTTCTAACAGCCTACGAAAAATAATCCATCATGTTGTCCCTTGATTCTAGAAAGGACAGGGGCCTTTGGGAAATTGCCCATTTCCTGTTGGTAATCTTGAAAAGCTTCCAAGCCTCACTAATGATTTATGGATCAGCTCTAGTGAGTTGTTTTCATTGAGTCAATATGGTGAAGGGAACCTGAGTATTAGGTGTGAGCATATTAAAGGAGTCTATAATGAAGAAATTAAAGAAAGTGCATATTGTACCTCCCTCCTGAAAGCTGCTATGCCATGCTCATTGGGAAGTGGGGCACAGTTTAGCACAAGACTAAGTAATAGAATTGTTATTTGTCTACATACAAGGGGGCCCCCCAAAATCCCAGAATTTATTTATTGAAAATTGTGTATTTTTTTCATACATGTTTACACTAAAGTCACCTTCACAGTACTCTCCATTTGAGGCAATAGACCTATCGAGATGCTTTTTCCACTGCTCAAAAACAGTTTTTAACTCATCAATTTTGATGCCTTTTAGTGCTTCTGCTGTTTTTTTGTTTCACCTCTTCCATGTTGGCAAAATGTTTCCCTTTGAGGACTTTTTTCATCCAGGGAAACAAAGCTGTTCAGGGCAATATTAGGTGAATAGGGAGGGTAGGAGCACCGGGGTCATGCTTTTTGCCAAAAAACTGCTGAACATTCAGTGTGGTATGGGCAGGTATGCTCGTAAATCACCCATCATGAAATGGGCAAATATGTTGAAAGAATATCCAAAAAAAAAGAACTGAAGCCCGAATGCAGCCTCTCACAGCAATGCTAGCTAGTACACTGATGCTGATGGGTTCTTAGAACACTTACCTAGTGAGGGAAGCCTGTACTATTAGGGGTCCATTCTCCAAAAGATAATCCCATTTTACGGGGGCAGCCCCTCGTTTGGGGCATGGCATGCTATTTAAAAAAGGAAAGCTTCAGGTTTAGAGCACATGATTCTTTGATATCCTTTCACATTTCTTTCCCCAGTCCATCTGCTATAGTAACAAAGGGTTGGAAAACTACTATGTGAGGAGGCTGAGCAAAGTGAGAACTGCAACTGATAAGAAAGTCAATAAAATGATTTTTATTTTGAGTGATTCTATTGATGAAGTTAGATATCTTAATGCTAAGTGGGCCAGTATGTGGCAGATTTTAACATGATCTCTGAATCTGCAGGAAATTGCCTTAGAGAACCTGATTCCACTGCTTCCTGTGATAAGACAGATAAATATAAGGTTTCCTGGGTCTAGGATGTGATTCGTATCAGCAATTCTGTATCAGCATCCCATCTCAAAAGTGATGTGGGAAACTTTCCACTAAGAAAACTAAGCATTTTGTGAGGGCAAAGGTGTCTTTCCTTTTTTTTTTTAATCCCTGGGAACGACTTGAAAAAGGCAGGCATGATTTAATATGTGGTCTTCAGGGTCTGGAGAGGTCAGAAATATGAGCTTTGTGAAAATAGGCTATCTTACATAAGTTGTCTTTCCTTCCTAAGCACATTTTATTTTATAGGCACAGAATTATACCCAAGATTAAAATTATTCTAGAGATAATTTTTATAACAACAATTTTTTTGTGATATATTTTTTGCTATTAATTGTGTGGAAACTCCCTGAATTGTCACATGACTAAAAGGGACTTATACTGATTGAAATATTAAAGATTAGCATTTTGGAAATTTTCCACAAACCCCAAAACTTCTATATAAAAAAATATGTTTATTTTTAAAAGCTACCATTTATTTAATAAATGTTATGTGCTAAGTATTCTATTTAAGTTATCTTAATCCTTTTTATTTTTATTTTATTTTTTGAGTTGGAGTCTCACTCTGTCACCCAGACTGGAGTGCAGTGGCTGCTCCCGGCCACCGCAGCCTCGCCCTGCTGGGCTCCAGTGATCCTTCTGCCCCAGCTTCCAGGTAGCTGAAACTACAGGCGTGTGCTACCACACCCGGCTCATTTTGATTTATTATAGAGATGAGGTCTCGCCAAGTTGCCCAGGTGGGTCTTGAACCCACGGGCTCAGGCAATCCACTCACCTCAGCCTCCCAAAGGCGCGGGATTGCAGGCTGAGCCACCGAGCCCGGCTATGTTATCTTAATCCTACAGCAATTCTGCTTGGTGATGTTATCCCCATTTTACAAACAATGAAACTGAGGCTTAGAAAGAGTGGGGCGTGTACCCAGGCTTATTTCTGTATCTCTTATGAGGGATGCTATATTGTTTATTTTAATTGACAAATAGTAATTGTATATATTTATGGAGTACAATGTGGTGTTTTGATACACTACAATATACACCATGGAATAATCAAATCTAGCTAATTATCATATCCTGTGTTAGTTTATTATAGCTGCTGTAACAAATTACCACAAACAACAAAAGCTTCAAACAACACAAGCACTCTCTTATAGTTCTGGAAATCAGAAGGCTGAAGTAAGTCTTGAGGGGGCTAAATTCAAGTTGTGGGCAGGACTGGTCCCTTCTAGAGGCTCCAGGAAAGAATTTGTTCCTTGATTTCTCCAGCATTTGGGGCTAGTATTCCTTGGCTCATGGCCACAGCACTGCAACTGCTTTTCTCAGAATGTGGCTGTCTTCTCTTCTGTAGTTAAATCTCCCTCTCATAAGGGCTTTTGTGCTTACATTAATCCACCTGGATAACCCAGGCTACTGTTTTCATCTCAAGATCCTAATCACATCTGCAAGGTCTCTTTTGACATATTCGCAGGCTTTGGGGATTAGCACATGAATATCTTCAGGAACCATCATTAAGCCTACCATGGGTACTATTGATATTTTTAGTGAGACAATACTTCTTTGTGTGAGACTGTCTTGCACATCGAGGGATCAAACATCCCTAGAGCCCACTTACCAAATGCTGGTGGGAATCTCCCTACCCCTACCCCACTGATGTGATAACCCAAGATACCCTCATCTATTTCCAAATGCTACTTTCCTCAGGAACACAGTAACATCTTAATTAGCTGGCTAAGTGGTAGAGCTAGTAGTTAACTAGGCCACTTGATGCCCAGACACTTTCCACCATGTCCCACTATATTGTTGTTCATGTTTATCTCATAAAGTGTTGCCATAATAATAAGATTATTGCAAACATTTGTGCTCAGCATTTTAACACCATTTAATCCATGTTGACTAAAAGGACACATAAGTCAACTGATTTTAGTTTTATATCCTCTTTCTTTTCCACAGAGTGCCTTCTAGCACGTGTGTCTTTGCTTCTTAGAAAAAGGAGTCTAGCAGGCTCACTTATAATCTTAATGTCTCATCTATATAAAATTGACTACTACTGTGTAAATTTCTATTTTTCTAAGGTCCTAGAAAAATCAACAAGGGCTGCTTCCACCCTCCCATTCTCCAAAAACCTATTTTTTTATATACATTGTCTCAATCTGGGTATAAATGTTCTTGGTACAAAAATATCTAGTGCAGGGACTGAAGGTGAGAATTCTAGGCAGCTAGCTATTCAAGGAGATGAATTCATTCTTCATGATGCATCTGCGGAGATTGTTTTAATGAATATCAGTTTAAAGGTTCTAAAAATGCTGCTGCTACTGCTGCTGAGGAGTGGACAAACATGGGGAGCTAAATTTTAGAACTTCCCCCAATGGGCAGAGATTATGAAGAAAATTCCCATTATATGTTATTCCCAGCCTATGAGATTAAGAAATAATTCATGTTGCTTTACATTTTTATTCTAATTGCTCTCAGAGCTCATTTAGATTCACATAAAGCCACAGTTCCCTTAGAAACAAAGCCACAGGTATGAATTAAGATAACCATGGCTAAATGTCTGAAGAAAATTAGCCACAGATAGAAATAAATGAGGTCTGACTGGTAAGATGAAATGTGTTGATACCATGGTACCAGACAGCTTGTTATTACATTGGTAAAAGCTTTTGTGTTTTGAGAGGTTCAAAGGAAAACAGGGATAATGTGAAGTCCTGGGCTTTACCTGTATAGCTCTTACCACATGTCAATGACTTAAATCTTTCTCTTTTATAGACTATTACGTGGCTGTTTACTTACCTGGCCATTTCTTTCATCTACTTAACATTCAACATCCAGACTTGATCTGCCACAGTCTGTTTCTGACAGGTATGGCTGCGGGTTTTTCTCTCAGGGATACAACCCATCAGGGTTTGTTTTGACTTTCATATCTGTATTTGAGTGAAAGAGGTTCTTTTATTTGCTGATCTACTTTTCTCTCCCCCAGGAAATAATGAAATGACTGATATGCTACCTCATAGTCCTTTGCAGTCACTGTCAGGGTCCCTGGTACTGGACTGCAGTTCTGGAACGCTCTATAGAGCACTCCTCAACCAGTCCTACTTATTACAGTTCCTATGGAACACCCACCTAGACAGTGAGAAGATGGCTGCCTTGCACTGTCTGCTCTCATGTGGCCGAGGCCTGCGGTTCCTGGAAGACCAGGTGCGAATATAGCTTATGTTTAAGTAAGCCAATACCGAATGCATTTTGTGGTTGAAAATGATCAGAAGTTATTTTTATTTGGCAACAACTAATTTTTACTTGGCTTATCGTCTCTCTCTTGACTTGAGCATATTTTTTGTGTGTACTTTTTTTTCCTATGGATCCC